TGTCTAGTGAAACGATTAATAAATATTTGCAATTTATCATAACTGTACTTCACTATTATATGCATTTTATCTTTTTTATATCCATCTGAGTTGAAGCTGTGCAAAGGATTCCATGGAAATGTGGATTTGATTTTGCGCTCCACCTATATAAGTATTTTGTTTGATTTTTGGTGTGGGAGTTGGGTTCACACAGGTGTGTAGCAGCTTTTTGGAATTTAACCCTGTAATAGAGGTGTTTAGCATTTTGAAGGTGATACAGAAATTTTTCACATTTCTTTCTGCCACCTTATCTGTGTATACAGAGTTATATGCTTAGCGCTTTTATACTTTAGATATATTCCTCTTCTACATACCTTCCTTCTTTTGTTTTTAATCTAACTAATCATTGCTTTACTTTTCTTTTCTCATTTATGTATCTAAAAAATGTTTTATCCCCCTTTTTTACTGACTGTGCTATTTTCTCTTCTGTGTGTGATTTGGAAGCTCTTATAACTTGCTTAGCCTCTTTCTGCCTAATCTTATAGATCATTTTGTCTTCCTCACTCTGGGTTTTTTAATAATTCCTAAATGCTAACTTTTTGTTTTTAACTATTTTGGCCACATCTGCGGAGTACCACAGTGGTTTCTTGAATTTTTGCTTTTACTGACAAGCCTAATGCAATTTTCTGTTGCCTTCAATAGTGCAACTTTTAAATAATCCCATTTTTCTTGGACTCCATTTAAATTGCTCCAGTCTGATAAGGACTCCTCTACCCATATTCTAATTTTAGAAAAGTCTGTTTTTCTAAAGTCTAAAACTTTTGTTTTTGTGTGGTGTGACTCAGTCACTGTTCTTATATTAAACCACACTGACTGATGATGACTGGATCCTAAACTTTCACCTACAGTAACATCTGATACTAAATCTCCATTTGTTAACACTAAATCTAGTATGGCCTCTTTACGAGTTGGCTCCTCAACAACTTGTACAACTTGAAGCTCTGTAAGTTTAAGTATCTCGGATTGTAAAGTCCCATTGAGTAATAAACCATTGTTCTTGTTACCCTTGTACACATATAGCTCACAAATTAAACTGGCTGCACTCACCTGAACATGCTTAAATGGGGTGCTGCTGGGGGCCA